ATTTGGGGACTTCCAAATGAAATGAGAATTTCATTTTGATTTATTTATAGTGTTTGAGAGTAACTGTTTGAACAGATTTTTTAGTAGGTGCTCTAGGTGTAACGTTATACATATGTTAACTTATCACAGTTCTACTTGTGTTGACGTTTTATCAGTTTCAGTGAGCTATAGAGGCCTTTCCTTGTTTAAGTGCTTTGACTCTCCCTCATTTATAGCTGTCCCAAATATTTCCTGTACATAAGTTGAAAACTACATCAGACAATGCATGGAGTATTTAGGAGAGGAAGTAACCTGGTGGGTTAGATATTTTGAGGAAAGAGGAAATTGTGGGGATCCCAGAGTTTCTTCTCCCAGCCAGTAGTCATTACATTTCTCTTTTTTGTCTGTGAAATTGCCTGAAGCAGAAATTACCACTATGCTTATCAACTTCCTTAATCTATCCTGCACATAACCACTAAACTGATCTTTTGCTTAAACCATCAGATATAATTTTGGCAATTCAAGAAAATGAAAGCTTACTCAATTTACACATCTTTTTACTGGTTCTCTTGTTTTTCTTTCTTAGTATTCCAAGATTTTTTTTCTTGTATGTCTGTCTTTTTCAAAAACTTCCTTTAGCTATTCTTTTAGGGTAGGCCTGCTGTTGACAAATTCTCATGGTTTTTCTTCATCTGAGAATGTCTTGATTTCCTCCTCATTCCTGAGTAATATTTTCACTGGATATAGAATTTTGAGTTGACAGGTTTTTTTTTCAGTCTTTGAAAAATGTTGTGCCCATGTCTTCTGACCTCTATGGCTTCCAATGGAAGAAATCTACTGCCATTCAAAAATTTTTTCATTATTGGTAAGGCATCATTTCTCTCTGGCTGCTTGCAATATTTGTTTCTTTGTCTTTAATTCTCAGAGGTTAGACTATGAGGTACCATGGTGTGGATTTCTTGGGGTTTATAATGGTAGGGGTTTGCTCACCTTCTTGGCTCTATAGGTTTATGGGTTTTGTTGTTAGGGGGGGTTTTTTTTTTTTTTTTTTTGCTATATTGGGCAAATTTTCAACCATATTTATTTTAATACTTTTTTAGCTCCAAATTATTTCTCCTCTCCTTTTGGGACTCTGATGACATACATGTTAGACTTTTTTTATTGTCCCACAAATTACTGAGACTTAATTTTTTTCCAGTCTATTTTCTCTCTTTTGTTCAGATTGGGTGGTTCCTATTGGTTTGTCTTCAAGTTCACTGATTCTTTGCTATCGACGTCTTACAACAGAACCCATCCAGTAAGTTTTTTCTTTTTTTTTTTTTCAGTGCTAACGTTTCAATTTAATTGTTTATATCTTCTATTTCTTTTCTGAGACTTTAAAAAAATTTGTTTCAAGGATGTTTACAATTACTTATTGAAGCATTTTTACACTGGCTGCTTTAAAGTTCTTTTCAGAAAATTTTAACATCTGTGTCATTTTGGTGTTAGCATCTGTTGATTGTCTTTTCTTGCTTAAGTTGAGATTTTCCTGGTTCTTGGTATGTTGACTGATTTTCAGCCTTGGACATTTTGGATGCTATGTTATGAGGCTGGATCTCTTTTAGATCTTCTGTTTTAGTTAGCCTTCTTTGACATCAAAACAATGCTGTCTGGTGGAGGTAGAAGTGCAGGTTACTCTATTGACATCCCAGGGTAGAGGTGAAGGAGAACAAGGGAGAGAGTGCCTAGTTACTGCTGTGTCAGGATGAGAGTTTAGGCTGCCCACTAAGCCTCCCCTGATACAGCCTTGGCTGGGAGTGAGAAGGATGCCTTGTTACTACTCCGCATCTGGCCTCCACTGACGTGATAGAGGACATTACTGCTGGGCAGTGGTGAAAGTGTTGACTCTCTGCTAGACTCCGTCTGACACCCAAGTGGGTGGGAGTGGAAGTTTAGGTTCCCCATTTGGCCTTTGCTGGCAGGGTGTAGGTAATACTACAATTTTTTCTATGGTTTAGCTGGAGTGGTTATTTTGTACAAATTTTCTTTCTTGCAAGACTGTCCCTTTCTGGTCCTTTGGCTAGTAAGTGCAGGTTTTCCTTTTTTTCTTTTTTTTTTTTTCTTTACCTGTACTCATTAGTTTATAGTTTTCTGCCTTCTCCATACTCAATCTGAGATCTATTAGGCATAGGCAAAAACAAAACCCTAGGCCAGTGCCATGTGATTCCACAGGTCCTGAGGTCCCTAACCATTCTATCTTCTTCTTTCCATGCTTCAGAGTCTCCTTATATTTGTGTTTTATATAATGTCCAGGGTGTTTAGCCTGTACTTAGCAGAGGGAATAAGCAGAAGTGTTTTTACTCTATATTGTCTCAGAACCAGACATCCCCAAGGGCATTTAAAACATTCTGTATCATCTGGCAAATAGCCAGTGGGGACAATGTTCCCCTAAATTGATGGTGTGGTCCCTCATCTTCCACCCTTACCCACCCAGTGTTCTGCTGTGTGAATTTTTTTTTTTTTTTTTTTTTTTTTTTTTTTTTTTTTTTTTTTTTTTTAGACAGAGTCTTGCTCTATTAGTGCAGTGGCATGATCTCAGCTCACTGAAACCTCAGCCTCCTGGGTTCAAGTGATTCTCCTGCCTCAGCCTCCCAAGTAGCTGGGATTACAGGAATGCACCACCATGCCTGGCAAATTTTTGTATTTTTTGTAGAGACAGGGTTTCACCATGTGTGCCAGGCTGGTCTTGAACTCCTGACCTCAAATGATCCACCCGCCTCAGCCTCGCAAAGTGCTGGGATTGTAGGCATGAGCCACTGTGCCTAGCCTGTCTTATTTCACCTAGCGTTATTATGCGATATTGCAGCATATATCAGAATGTCTTTCATTTTTAAGGCTAAGTAAAATTATGTTGTACATATATACCACATTTCATTTACCCATTTATCTGTTGATAGATGTTGGCTTGGTTACACCTTTTGTCTATTGTGAATAATGCTGCTATAAACATGGGTGTACAAACATGTCTTCAATACCCTGCTTTCAATTCTTTGGGGTATATACTCCCAAGTGGAATCACTGGATCATATGGTAATTCTGTTTGTAATTTTTTGAGGAATTGCCATACTGTTTACTATAGCAGCTATACCATTTTATATTCCCATCAGAAGTGTACAAAGGTTCCAATTTCTCCACATCTTCAGCAATGCTTGGTGTATATATAAAGATATAAATATATATATATATATATATATTTTTATAGTAGCCATCCTAATGGGTATGAAGTGGTATCTATCTCATGGTGGTTCTGATTTGCTTTCCCTAATTAATGATATTGAACGTATTTTTATGTGCTTATTGGCCACTTGTATATATATATATTTTTTTTTTAGACAGGGTCTCACTCTGTTGCCCAAGCTAGAGTGCAGTGGTGCAATCTTGGCTCGTGGCAACCTTCGTCTCCTAGGCGATCTTCCCACCTCAGCCTCCCGAGTGGCTGGGACTACAGGTGCATGCCACTACGCCTGGCTAATTTTTGTATTTTTTGTAGAGACAGGGTTTTGCCATGTAGCCCAGGCTGGTCTCCAACTCCTAGGCTCAAGCAATCCACCCACCTCAGTCTCCCAAAATGCTGAGATCACAGATGTGAGCCACCACACTTGTCCCTCATTTGTATATCTTCTTTGGAGAAACGTCTGTCTAAGTCTTCAGCCCATTTTTGAGTTAGGTTGTTTGTTTCTTTTGTTGTTGAGTTGTAAGAGTTTTTTTTATACTTTCCAGATATTAACCCCTTATCAGATATATGGCCCAGTATTGTCTTTTTACAATTGGTCAGTTTGAACCAGCAACCAACAAAGTCATACTATATTAGTGCATTTGATCTTTATGACCCAAGTCTTATCTCGTCTAGAGGAAATCCCTCTCTCCAATTCTCTCCCTGGTCATTAACTTGTGGCGAAATCCATGTCCATCGTCATGCAGAATCGTAGTTTTGAATTACAACTATGCTGCTGCCCTCCAAAGTTTCCTGCTTTGCCTTTGATAATTTCAGCAGTAAATTTTCCTTATTGAAAAAGGAAAGTTTCTCTTTTGAATGCTCCTAGAGGACTAAAACTGAAAATGAGAAGAGGAAGCTTTATTCACATTTGGGAACCCAGCTAATGGGAAGGAAGGCACTGGAGACAGGCAGGTGTGAGGAATGTGAGGGTCATATAGGGGTGGGGAGCGCACATTTGGGTCAACAGCCTGGCCTGAGAGAAGAGAGGCTTTTCCCAAGAGGGGACCGGCCCAGGACTGTCTCCCCAGCCATGGGCAGCACATGGCAGACCCTGGGGGCACCGCCAGGGCCACACTGTGACTCTGCTTCCCAGGGGATGCTGGAGAGAAAGGTTCGGCCTCAGGAGTTCTCTGAGTACACAGGGCCTTCCCAGGAGTACCTGAGGGCACAGGGGCAAGGCTGGGGAGGCTCCAGCATCCAGGTGGCTCGAGAGCCAGGACATGGCAGCAGATAGATCACTGAGACATAAGCTACTGTCACTGACAATGTCTGAGCACTCTAAAATGTCACTAGAGTTCTCTCTGGGATTATTATGAGTTTTTTTCTTTGTATTTTCCAAATTTTCTTAAACAGTGAAAAAGCAATACATTTGCTTTAAAAATAGATCAGTACCTTTAGGATTAACATAGATGTGCCCAAAGAAGATTAATAGGAATAACAGTGCAGTGCTCAGTGACTAGAGTTGGGGGGTCCTCCAGACTCTTTGGAGCATAGATTAGCCCCTACTCAAAGACTGGGCCAGGGCCCAGGAGCATGGCACAACCTGGAAAAGATTGAACATGGCCAGAGGAGGGCAGTCTCCTGAGTGTCTTTAGCTGAGATCAGTATTCCTGGTTCTGCCTGCAGCCCTGCTGAGGACTGAACCTATGAGGAGGGGGCCCAGCTTTCAGGAAGCCCCTGCCAAATCCACTGGAACCCACCCAGTGGACCAGCTTCTCTTACCCACATTACTGCTTCCAAACCTCTTCTGCTCAACACACACAAGTTTCCAAGGTAGAATATTCTTTATTATGATAAACTCAGGATGCAGGATGTATTCCAGGATACAGAAGAATGGCAAATATAGGCTTTTCTCAGATATCTTTGAAATTATTATAATGCATACAAAATATGTAGAAGATGCTTCTTGAGATTGCTCTAAAATTCCCAATATTAAAGGGGAACAGGTGCATGGCAGCTAAACACCTCAACAAGATCATACATACAGGGGCCTCCATATTCCCTCCCAAGATCCTGAGAAAAGACACCTTGCTCCAGCCTGGCTGAAAGTGGAGCAAAGAGATGCATTTTCTATTGGATTTAGGGTCCTAAGGTCTGCCCTGGGGCACAGACACTTAAGACCATGACACCTTGTCCCCAAAGGACAGCTTGAGAGTAATGTACAAATCACTCTGGGAAGGAGAGAGGGAGAGAACAGCTGTGTCTGTAGTTCATTGTTGTGTGAGTTTACGCAGCTATCCTCTCTCTGTGCTTCATTAGAGGTATAAATACCAGTTCACTGGGTCCTTTCCAGAGTTTGGTTTCAATGAGTAGGGACACAAGAGAAAAGGAATACAAGAGTGCCCAATTTTTGTTCAGGGACATGGTTAGGCTCCCTCAATGATGGGACTTTCCCACCTAGCTGTTCCTGGGAGCTGTACCTAGAGAAACGTTCGTATGCAGCTGCCTGTGTGTGTGAGAGTGCACATCTGTACATATGTGTGTGTCTGTGTGTGAGTTCGTATGTGCCCATGTGCCCACAAGCTTTGGGGCAGGAGGCTCTTATATGGTCGCTGTTTGTAAACAAATAACTTTGTAAGGCAATCAAGGTACAAAGTTGGTGGGAAAGCTCTCAGAGGGTGGCCCAGGGAGGAAGGCTCCCTGCTCACACCATTACAGTGACTCATCCCCAGAACTCATACTTGATGAATATGCCAGAGGCTAGGATCCCTTCTCATGCCAGGTGGAGCTGAGAGCACGACCACAGGCATCCTGACAGGCGGAAATGAAAAGCAGCTCAAGCTGCTCAGGCAAGTCTCTTGGGGACTCATCACTGCTGAAGGTTGGGCAGAAGCTGGGAGGTGTCAAAGATGCAGATGAGAGGTGGACTCATTAAGAAATAAGGCTCAAGGTGGGATCTCCTTGTGCTGCCCTGTGGGGAAGTGGAATGGGAGGTGTGCAGAGAGGCACTGAAGCATCAGTAGGCATCATCGTGGAAGAAGCTGCCTCAGCAGTGTCGTGGTCACAGCAGTGGCCAACATGTAGTCCAGCAACAGCCAGCTCTCCCGCAACCAAGACTGCCCTCCCCCAGGAGACCCGGAGCTATGCTTCACCTTTCCCTACAGGGATTCAAACATAGCTACTCTCTGTTCTCCCCATCCTACTCCTCAAGTGAGGAAACTGAAGCTGAAGATGTATGAATGGCTCAGAGCAGAGCTGGCTCTGCTGGTCCTTCTCCTAGCCCCAGCTGGTCCTGTTCTATACTGTCCTGGCTGATAATCCAGCAAGTGGACATGCCACTCACAGCTAATGGTTCCATGCAGAACATGAAATGTGATGTCCAGCTGCTGCAGATGTGTCTGTGAAGTTGGCCTCTCCAGGAATTGAGAGGCAAGTAGAGCACAGATTCCTCCTATAACCAAAGGAGGAGGCAGGGCAGAAGTACATGGACAGGCAGACAGATACACGCACACCCAGGGCCTCAGAACAGTCTTCAGGGCAGGGACAAGGCCTTGGCAAGGCGAGTCCAGAACCAAGATTTGGTGCAGGGGTTGGTGTAATCGCAGACAGTGATGAACCTCAGGATGCTGGGGAACTCTTTCTTCATTGCCTTGTACTTGATGGGGATCAGTCGCTTCTGATGGGCACCTGCAAGCCAAGGGGTGCCATGCTGGCATCAGGCCCTTGTCCCATGGTGGGACAAGCCCAGTCTTCAACACAGGGGTTAACAACAGCCATCCCCCATCTAAGCACCCTGGCACACATTCACTCACACAAAAAGGCACACACATGTACACATGCTCAGGTGTGCAGAGATCTTCAGCAGTTCTTTGGTACTGCATCCACAGCCCTTGGGGAGGGAAGGCTGACAATCCAGAGGCCCCACCTACACATTCCCTCATTATCTTGCCAGAGCAGGGTTGAGCTTACCTGGAGAGAGGCTGAGTGCAAATTTGGTCTGGAAGTCACATTCCTTGCTCTGCAGGTAATCATCAGAGACTACCACCACCATCCGGCGGCACCTAGGGAAGAGCGGGCAGGCTGCAGGTCCCGTGGCAACTTAGTCCAGCATATCCCCTGGGAATAGCTTCGGGAAGAGCCCACTGTGCCCAGGCTGGACAGTGCACAGCTAGGAGGAGATGCCCAGTATCTGGACCCCAGGGCAGGGCTTCATGCATCCACCCACCCACCCCATGGCCTTCTAGCCAACCTCTTTTCGATGAGTTCACTAGCAATGGACCAGACACAGGTGCCAGGCAGGACATCACGGTCAGACACACACAACTTCAGTCGATAGTTTGTCTGTTCCAGTTGCCGGATCATCTCCTGCACAAACTGGATGTCGCTGGGGCAATAGCAGATGAAGGCATCGAAACGCTCAGGCATATGCCCTGGGTGCACAGCACAAGGTGGTGGTCAGAGTTCCATGGGAGGTCTTGGGAGGCGTCCAGCCAAGAGTCCCCTGCCTAGGCAACCCTGGGCCCTGCACCCTTCCCAAGATGATACTCCTCAGAGAAAGTGCCCTTCCTGGGAGAGGAAAGATGAATACCTCAGGGGCTAAGCTCTGGATTAACCACGAGACAGACATTGTTTCATGAGCATCTCACAGCAATCCAGATGTAAGACTATTATCTCCATTTCTCAGGTGAGGAAACTGAGGCTCAGAAAGATTAAGTGACTTGCCCAAGGTCCCACTGCCCATCTGCTTCCAACACCCATGCTCTTAACGCCACAATGTCCTATTCTACCTGTCCCATGGGAACAGTATTGGACCCTTACCCAGGGGGTCGTCAAGTGTGGTGATGCCCGCCAGTTCTGCTGTCCGTGGGACACTGCTGTCTACAGCGGCCACCTGTAAAGGCTTCTCAGCCTCCTCCTGCTGCTGCTTCAAGATATACTTTTGGCAATCTTCCTCTGTGGGGAAGAGACAGGGTAAAGCAGGTTCCCTGGGAGTGCCCACCTCTTTACCTGCAGTCAGGATCCAGGCGCTGTCCCACCTCCTCCGCCTGGGTTGTTCTAGAAGGCTTCCCCAGCTCACTGGTGCCATGAGCAGTTCAACAGCTCTAAGAAGTTGAGCTCCCGCTGGCTCTCACTGACCCAAAGGGATGTCAGTGGTGTTCTGGCTTTCTGGAACGCCATCAAAGTCAGATTTGTATCTCTGTCCCTTCCTAGGGATCCTGAGAATGGTATCAAGGTAGGTCTGCTTCTTCTAGGATCCAGGGCAGATGTGAGCAAGGCGCTGGGCATGCCAGAAAGGCTCAGGAGACCCACTGGTTATGGGGCAGTGAGGGCAGTGATTCCAACCCAGAAGGTGTGCCTGTCTGTGGGCAGCTGTACCCAACGCCTACGCATGTATATTATGTAAGTGCCACTGAGTAGAAAGAAGGGCTGCATTTCCCCAGGACCTGAGATTTCTAAGACAGTCCACTGTCAGTCGCCCCACCTGTCCTGTTGCTCTACTTGAAACAGCCCAGATGCCCCCACAGAAGCCTGATTCTGACTCCTGGTCCTACCTGAAAGCCTCTGCCTAAGCTGCTTCCTTTCCATCTCGTCTCTCCGGACCTTTCTCCAGTCCTTCTTAATAACCGGGACTGGTTATTAAGAAGAAACGGGACCCGCATGGTTCTCCCTCTGCAGGCTTCTCCGGCCCCCGAGGCAGGAAATGGGGTCTCTCCGTGGGAGACAGGATGCTGAGGCCGCGGAAAGTCAGCCCCCTCACCCCCCAGGGACGAGGCCAGGAAGGGGACGTCCTCACCAATGCTGGGTCCCAGCTCCAACAGCACGTCGTCGCGGCCCAGCTTGGTAAGCAGCTCCAGCAGTCGGCCTACCGAGGCGCCAGGGCGTCCCTGCCAGGCGTCCAGCAGCCTGCCAGTGGGGTCGGCGTGCGCCTCCAGTTGCCGGATCTCCAAGTACTCAAAGTCCATCTCCTCCGCCAGCGCGGTCCAGTCGGCCGCCACCTGTGTCCGCACGTTCAAGAACAGGGATAGGCGGCGCCGCACTCGCATGTTGAGTGCAGCCAGGGGAAGGGAGGATGTGGAGGAGACCGGGGCCGCAGACTCAGCGCCGGGACCTCCTGCAGCCATGGCGGGCTGTCCTGGAGCCTCGGTGCGGTCGGGTCGCATTGTCTGCCAGCGCTTCCTCTTTCTCCTACGACACCCGCCCCGCCCCGCCCCGCCCCGCCGGCTTTCGCTTTCCGAGAAGCGCCGCCCTGCCCTACAATCCGGAGCCCCGCGCAAAAGTGCGGAGGCGGGGGCGCCCACCTCTACCCTTGAGGTCTGGAGGCGGGGGATGTGGGAGCGTGAGAAGTAGGAATCTGCCTTTTGAGATCTAGAGAGGTCCACAGCACTGCCCTCGAGGGTCTGATGATGGTAGTAGTAGGTAGGCGGCGGAGTGAGAACCACCCTCCTTCAGAGGTTGTAGGAAACGGGCCTTGCTTTTTGGGATCTGGAGCCACAATTCTTCCACCGGGGAATCTGAGGGGTTCATACGGTCCTGCCCTCGAGGATGGCGAGGAGGGGACAAGTGGGAAGGCACCAGCTCTGCCCTCCACTGTCTCTGGGGAACACGCAATCCTGCCAGTAGGGGTAAGGGAAGACCCCTGCTGTGCTCCCCGGGTGGGAGTGGGAAAGGGACAGCTGTCTTCTGGAGCCTGAGGCATGCCGTGACCCTGCCATCGAAATGGTTGGGGACGTCATGACACTAGGTTGGGGACCACAAGGCACCCTGTCCTTTGGTGTCTGTGGGAAGCCCAGCTACTCTCCAGGGTCTCAGGTAACCACATGGCCCTGCTATTGGGAGTCAAGGGGGCACGTGGCCTTGCTCTTTAGGTTTAGGGACACAGTCCTGACCTAGGGAGACCTGGTTCATTCATTTACTCATTCAACAAGTACTTATTGATCATCTACTAAGTGTCAAGCCTGTCCAGGCTCTCTGCCTTGGTGGAGCCCCCAGCCTAGCACGGGAAATGGGCACTAATAAAATCATTCCAATTGGGTGTAAAACTGGTAAAAGTGTGAAACGTTCATTCTCCAGTTAGAGAGCTTGTCACACCCCGGCACCTCTGTAAAATCTGTTCTCCCGGCCAGTCCGGAAGCCCAAATTCCCTGTCTTCTCGAAAGAATGGGAAAGCCCACCCACGTCGGAGTAGGACTCGGGCGTCTCGGAAGTATTTAGGTCCCCCAGCTCGGGTTAGCAGAGCCGGAGGGATAGCAGAGCCGACTAGGAAGTGGGTAGAGGAATTAGAGCCCCGGCTTCCATCTCCATCCCGCAAGCGGAAAGCGGTCCTGGCGCTCCAGCCTTCCGTTTAGCTGCAGGCAGGAGACATGGGTTTGGGGGTCGGGTCTCGGGTTTGGCTACAAAAGGTGGAAAGGCTTCCGCTCTGCATTTCTGGGCGGGGATTCGTAAAGATGCACCTTTTGGTTGGCTGCGGTAGGCTAAGGTAGGCGGGACATTGAGTGGAAAGCTCGGCTGGGCGGTGACTGTGGGCCCTCCTATAGAGGGTTCGGTAGGCGGTGGCGGGGAGGGGCGGGTTCCCAGGCCGACTCACCTTGTGGTTGGCTGCGGCGGGAGGTGGGCGGGACTTTTGGAGGGGCGCTCGCGTCCCTTCTCAGGGCTGTGGGCGGAGTTGAGGCCTTGGAGGCTGAGATGTGGTTCTGCGCGTGCGCTGACGGCTGTCTGTTAAGTCCGGCGGTCAGTTCCGGGACTGGTGGCTGGTCTGTAGGGTTGAGCTGCGCCATGCAGAGGCTGCAGGTAGTGCTGGGCCACCTGACAGGCCGGCCGGATTCCGGGTGGATGCCGCAGGCTGCGCCTTGCCGGAGCGGCGCCCCGCAGGCCTCGGCCGCGGACGTGGTGGTGGTGCACGGGCGGCGCACGGCCATCTGCCGGGCAGGCCGCGGCGGCTTCAAGGTGAGGCCCGAGGGTCTGGGTGCCGAGTGTGGGAAGACGCCAGCGCGGGCTGGGGTCCGGTTCGTATGTTTGGTTACCCTGGACGCCGGAGGCAGCTCCGCATCCAGCTGTGGTCGCTTTGGCTCCCTGGGGTGAGCATGGGGCACTGGGGGTCACCGCGGCTGCTCTTCCTGCTGCAGGACACCACTCCCGACGAGCTTCTCTCGGCCGTCATGACCGCGGTTCTCAAGGACGTGAATCTGAGGCCGGAAGAGCTGGGGGACATCTGTGTCGGTGAGCGCACCACCCAGGCCGTGTGCTGGGCCCTCCCCGTTTTTCCGTTCGTCCAGAGCTCTCCTCACCTCCCCACCCCGAGTTTTCACTGGGGGAACCTCCATGGCCTTGACCTTTGAAGGGGGCCTGCCCCTCCACACCTGTGGGTGTTCCTCGTCAGATGGGACGAGAGACTGAGAAAAGAAATAAGACACATAGACAAAGTATAGAGAAATAACAGTGGGCCCAGGAGGCCGGGACACTAGGCATGCGAGGACCTGCACCAGCTCTGGTCTCCCAATTCTCTCGGTATTTATTGATTACTATTTTCACTATCTCGGCAAGGGGAGTCCGGCAGTGTGGGGGAAAGGAAGAGAGATCAGACTGTTACTGTGTCTGTGTAGAAAAAGAAGACATAAGAAACTCCATTTTGATCTGTACTAAGAAAAATTCTGCTTTGAGATGCTGTTAATCTGTCGCCTTAGCCCCAACCCTGTCCTCACAGAAACGTGCTGTATTGACTTAAGGTTTAATGGATTTAGGGCTGTGCAGGATGTGCCTTGTTAACAATTTGTTTGCAGGCAGTATAAAAGTCATTGCCATTCTCCATTCTCTATTGACCAGGTACACAATGCACTGCCGAAGGCCACAGGGACCTCTGCCCAAGAAAGACTGGGTATTGTCCAGGTTTCCCCTAACTGAGATAGTCTGAGATATGGCCTCGTGGGAAGGGAAAGACCTTACAGTCCCCCAGCCCAACACCCATAAAGGGTCTGTGCTGAGGAGGATTAGTAAAAGAGGAAGGCCTCTTTGCAGTTGAGATCATAGGAAAGCATCTGTCTCCTGCTTGTCCCTGGGAATGGAATGTCTCTGTGTAAAACCCAACCATACATTCTATTTACTGAGATAGGAGAAAACCGCCTTCTGGCTGGAGGTGAGACACGCTGGCGGCAATACTGCTCTTTACTGCACGGAGATGTTTGTGTAAAGTCAAACATCAATCTGGCCGACGTGCATATCCAGGCACAGCACCTTTCCTGAAACTTATTTATGACACAGAGTCCTTTGCTCATATGTTTTCCTCCCCACCATTACCCTGTAGTCCTGCCACATCTCCCTTGTCAAGATAGTAGAGAGTGATCAATAAACACTGAGGAACTCAGAGACCGGTGCCAGTGCAGGTCCTCAATTGCTGAACATCGGTCCCCTGGGCCCACTTTTCTTCCTCTATACTTTGTCTCTGTGTCTTATTTTCTTAGTCGTGTGGAGGGGCAGGACCTCTTAGGCAGGAGAACAGGGTGAACAGGGTGGTGGGGAGAAGGTCAGCAGGAAAACATGTGAGTAAAGGAATCTGCATCATAAATAAGTTCAAGGGAAGGTACTATGCCCGGATGTGCATAGTAGGCTAGATTTATGTTTCTCTTTACCCAAATATCTCAGTGTAGCAAAGAGTAACAGCAGTATTGCTGCCAGCATATTTCGCCTCCATCCACAGGGTGGTTTTCTCCTATTTCAGAATAGAACCAATAGTCGGCTTTACAGACATTCCCTTCCTAGGGACGTGCGGGAAACAGAGGCCTTCCTCTTTTACTAATCTTCCTCAGCACAGACCCTTTACGGGTGTCAGGCTGGGGAATGGTAAGGTCTTTTCCTTCCCACGGGATATGACCATGAGGCGGTATCTCAGGCTGTCTCAGTGGGGGGAAATCTTAGACAATACCCAGACTTTTTTGGGCAGAGGTTCCTGCGGCTTTCCACAGTGCATCGTGTCCCTGGTTAATAGAGAATGGAGAATGGCTATGACTTTTACCAAGCATACTGTCTGCAAACACATTGTTAACAAGACACATCCTGCACAGTCCTAAATCCCTTAAACATTGATTCAGTACAGCACATGTTTCTGTGAGCACAGGGTTGGGGCTAAAGTTACAGATTAACAGCTTCTCAAAGCAGAAACAATGTTTCTTAGTACAGATCAACATGGAGTTTCTTATGTCTTCCTTTTCTACATAGACACAGTAAAAATCTGATCTTTCTTTTCCCCACAACCTTCAGTCTATCCCACCCCTCACCTTGAAATACTCAACATGATATGGCAAGAGTCTTATCCAGCGGATGCCACCCCTAGGTCAGCAATCACTGTTCCACCTCTCTGGGGTGACAACAGGGCTCAGAGGAGGATACCTGGGGAGATGTGCATTTTCAGAAACTCCCATTTCACTTTTAAGGGCAGGCAACCTGCCCATCTGTGCTGATTTGGAAAAGCTGGGTGCGTGGGCAAGTGAGCGTGGGACGCTTAGTGACAGGAGCTGGTGGATGACCAGGACAAGCTATTGTATGGCTGGCTCTCCCTGCCCCAAACCCTGATGTTCCAGAGCTGCAAGTGAGACTGCCAAGGGCTAGTGTCCCAAAGAAAGATCTGGAATGCCTCATCTCTGGTTTTCACAGCTATACCTTAGTGCACAGAATACCACCACCTGGCGCTGAATGAAAGTTTATTGTCCACAGGAAATGTGCTGCAGCCTGGGGCCGGGGCAATCATGGCCCGAATCGCCCAGTTTCTGAGGTAAACTTTTCTAGTTCTAGCCATGGGTTGACCATTTTGATGCTTTACTGGGCCCAGGCCTCAGGGAACTCAGTCTGCAGGTTGGGGAGGATAAGGTTGGACACCAGAATGAGGCAACCAGAGTCCTTGACTCCCTTCTCTTGTGAATTCAACCTCTCCCCTACTTTAAAGTGCTGAGCCAGGATACACAAGGCCTTTGGGACTGGAGCAGAAGTTCTCTGTGGCTTGATTTTTAGCCAAAGCCAGGTTGTCACTTGCCTTTTGTAAGTGTGGATTCTGCCCTCATTTGTCAGGTGAGTAACCAAGTAAGCATGCTGAAGAGTGACTTTCAGCCTTTTTACTAGTTGAGCTAACTCCAGTCATATCCCACTAGCAGAGACTTTGGGATAGGGCAGAACCATGGGGAAGGGGGACACTCAGGAGGAGACCTGGTAAACTTTCCTTTGAGCACCTGCAGGGGAAAGAGTGCTTAAATTATTTTCGTGTGTAGATTTAAGAACTGCTTAGCTTTGTACTTCTAGATGTATGGAGAAGAATAAATAGGAACATTAGCTAGTGAAGGAACAGGAAAACAAAAACCCTCTAGG